TAGGTGAAGGGGAGGAAGGCAGCAAATCATGCTGCCACGTGTGTACCTATGCAACAATCTTGCATGTTCTTCACATGTACCCCAAAACTGAAAATGCAAAAAAAAAAAAAAGAAAATTGGAAAACAGACACATAAATAGAAGAAAAATTAAACAGCATTACTTTGTGTTAAACCCTTTGGACCCCTTGGTGGGTATAATTCCATACTCCCACCACTTTTCTTTCTATGTAAGTGTGTGTGTGTGTGTGTGTGTGTGTGTGTCTGTGTATGAATTATTATATATACAAATTTGTGATTTGTTTATATACTTAATAACAACATTTTGTATATCATGTATATTCTTTATTTTTATAACATTATTTTTTATAGCTGTATAGTACTCTACTATGTAGGTATATTCAAATGTATTTACCCAAATTCTATTATTAGATGCTTGATTGTTTCTAATATTTGGTTATTACAAATAGCATATTGGTAAACATTCTTTTATGAACATCTTTCTACACTTTCTTAATTATTTCCTGAGGCTCAATTTCCAGAAAAGGAGTAAGAAGGCCACAGGTCTGGACATTTTAATGTTTAATAATTACTGCCATATTACTCTCCAAAAAGTACTGTAATCTATTCAAGAATGTCTCTTTTCCCTCACTAACAAAAATTAAATAATTAGTGTTCATTGTCTCATTCTGGTTCTTACAATAACTCTATGGGGTAAACAGAGCAGATTAGGAGAAATACCATTGGTCATACCTCCAGAAAGTAACAGGACTAGGAGTCAATTGTTTTGCCTTGCCTTACTACATGCTTTTCTAACACATCCTTCTTACCATCATACTGTCAACAGTGGCAATTCCAAGTGAACTGTCAGGAAAGAACCTATACCAGTAATTCTTATACAAGCCACAGCCTGACTCATGCCTGTGTTGCTGGCAGTGCCCTGGCCTCCAGCCATGGAACTGTGGGTGGCAAAATTCTTGTATTCTGAGAAAAAGGCAGTGTTGGCACACTGCTTGTTCAGGCCAGTGCTTAAGCCAATGGAGAAGGGAGGAGGTAAGGAAGTTGAAGTCAAAGAGGCAGTTGAGGGTGAGCAAATTATGGACCTTGTAAGAACATGTCCTTAAAACTTTAATTCTTGCCCTGTATTATAAGTAAAATGGTTCAGGCCATCTATCTTACTAAATATTTTAAAAATGAGTCTGTTCTTACTATTTTTTAATTGTTCACTTCATTCATATCATTTAATTGGAATAATTTTGTTTTTACTTTTACTTATACAAAACACAGAGAGTCAAGTTCCCCTAAGTCAAAAGAGAAGAGGTAGTGAAGAAAAAATTTCCTTTTGAATAGAAAAACAAGAGGGCATTTTTTCCCTTTCTTTTTTTCCATATCATATGGCATAATAAATTTTATTCAAATACTTAAAAAATTGAAAAGAAATAGCATTGAGTGCAATCATGTAGGTGTTTGCAAAGTTCTTAAAACTATTTGGCTATAGTATTGTGTAAGAAAACTGTCATGCAAAAATGAAAGCAATATTTGTTAGGGGTGAATAAATCAGGTAGGCTAGCAGGCACTGTGGGTTACTAAGATGAAACAGTTATAGGTTCTGTTTTAGGAACATTCATCTTGTAGAGGTAGGAGGACTGCTTTAAGAAGCTTCCTGATCACTAAACTTGGTTTAATCACTGTCCTCTGTGCTTGAACATCATTGCTTTTTCCCCCTTATTAAATCTGCTTCATAAATTGAAGTAATCCATTTATTTGTTCATTGTACCCACTAGGCCATAAACTCCTAGAGGGCAGGAACTATGCCCTATTCTTTACAAGAGACTATATGAAAGGCAGGCCATAGAAACTTAATGGACAGAATATAATTATACTATAGAAAATTTGTTACATTTTATCATTCAAGGGTAGTGATATGGTTTGGCCCTGTGTCCCCACCCAAATTTCATGTGGAATTTTAATCCCCACATGTCAGAGGAGGGACCTGGTGGGAGATGACTGGATCATGGGGGAAGATTTTACCTCCCCATGCTGTTCTCATGATAGCGAGTTCTCACAAGATCTGATGGTTTAAAAGTGTGGTGCTTCCCTTCTATCTCTCCTGTCACCATGTAAGACGTGTCTTGCTTCCCCTTTGCCTTCTGCCATGATTGTAAGTTTCCTGAGACCTCGCCAGTCATGTGGAACTATGAGTCACTTAAACCTACTGTCTTAATAATTTACCCAGTCTCAGGTAGTTCTTCATAGCAGTGTGAAAATGGACTACTACAGGTAGAAATTATTGTTTCTTTTGTCCATTGTCTTTCAACAATATTGGAATATACTTTTCAAATTGATTAAGGTAGGTGATATAACATATAATCAATTTCAGGTTTTCATTAAGTGTACAATGTAATTTCAGATTAAGTGTACAAATCACTTATCTGTGGCTTCAGTTTTTCTCATCTGTTAAGTAACACTGTTAGCCCAGACCAATTATTCTCAACTGATATTGAGGAGACCTACCCTGATATTCAGGGATGGGATAGAATACATTAGAATCTTCATTAAAGTATTTGTTGTTTGAAAACCATTTATTCAGTATAATTATATAATTTTATAGTTGGGACAAAAAAAGAAAGGTACTATTTCTGTAATATTAAACAATAGAAGGAAAATCCTGGAAAATGTTGGCTCCTGGTTTTCTCAGAGGTTAAAGGCTAAACCATTCCAGGAGGTTGTACAAAATCTTTGAGGTAGCTGTGGTAGGGGCTCTAACTCATTCTCTTTTACGTTATTCAATGAACTAAATAAAGGTGAAAGATACTGCATTCCAAGAAGCTCCTATCACCTAATATTTATCATGGCTCACATATACCTTGTTTTTCTTTGGATATGTTGGAGGAGCTCAGTAACATTTTCTGTTGTTTCTTTAAATTTGTCTTATTTTGAAGAAAGGCAAAACTATAGATCACATTAATATTAGGCTCAGAAATACCATGAAGATAAGTAAACCAGACATTGCAAGTTATCCAAGTGTCTCAGTGTAGACCTGTTGTTATTTCATTTACCTGGCCACATGATCACAGAGAAGCCGATAGTTTAGTTTAAGTGTGGCTCAGAAGATTGTGTGAGAGAACTGAAATGCACTCTAGCGTGTTTGGGTGACTGAGTGCTCTATTTTTAAGGGATTAGAAGCTGTTTCTCATGGAGTTTGGATTTTTCATGTGAAGGAGGTTTTTTTTTTTAAAGGATTAATTAACTATTTGCTGTTTGGCATCTCAAAGATTTCCCCATACAATAAAATGCTTCCAGGTCACAACCCTCATGATATTTATATATATTTCTGGTTATGAATATCCACAAATGCAACAAAAGTATAAAGTGGTTTGAAATACCCAGTTAAAAAAAAGTTTTTTTGAGCTGGATTCTTGCTCTGTTGCCCAGGCTAGAGTACAGTGGCACAATCTCGGCTCACTGCAACCTCTGCCTCTTGAGTTCATGTGACTCTCCTGCCTCAGCCTCCTGAGTAGCTGGGATTACAGGCATGCACCACCAGACCTGGCTAATTTTTATATTTTTAGTAGAGATAGGGTTTTGCCATTTTGGCCAGGCTGGTCTTGAACTTCTCACCTCAGGTGATCTTCCTGCTTAGCCCCCCAAAGTGCTAGGATTACAGGCATGAGCCACTACAGTCAAAATACCAAATTAAAATTAAAAAAAAAAAAATAACAAGGGACATGTTAGCCCATTTCAGGGGTTGATAAACAGGTTAATTCTTGCCTTCTCCTCTTCTCTGTGGCTCTCCTCCTCCGGTTAGTGGTGGAGACAGCCGTGTTATTTATATTGTGTGGCTGTCAGAAGCCTGCTCCATGCTCCTCAACCCATGTGGTACCCTGATGACTTGGCCACAGTCTAGTTGTCACAGGATTCCACGAGAGCCTGATCCTCCTCACACCAGTTGCAGGCCAGCGTTGGGCTCCTTTACCCCTCCACTTTGCCTGTATGTACCTCAGGTGTGCAGAAGTAGAATCTGTTTTTCCTGTCTTTTTATTTTAAGCTCTAATTCTAAACTACTATGTAGCTCTAGACTAAGTGGGGCATTGTTAAATGGATAGTAGTCTACAGATTTTGAGTAGCATTAAAAAATATGTACATTTAGCCCTAAATCTCCAAGTATCTCTGTCAGTTTCGGTCCTCTAAAAAGCAGCTGTCAAATGAAATTATATGGGCAAGAGATTTATTGGGAACAATGGACAGGGAGCATGAGGGGGCAGAGACAGCCTTCAGCCCCTGATGCGGGTCTGGGAAAGGAGAACAAGAAAGAAGGATGGGGTTGGGAGCAGCCTCAGACTGCAGTACAGTTCTGAGAATGTCTCGGCCAGGCTGGTGTGGATCCCTGGGCTCTAAGACTTGAAGCTTCTCGTTAGAGGAGCTTTGTGTCAGGCAGAGGTGACCTGGTTCTACTACCCCCACTGCACTATGCCATTATCTGGGAGCAGCCAGTGGAAAGCAGCACCTGATTTGAATGCTGCAATCAGCTTAAAGATGGGGCATCAGAAGGCTGTCAGCCAGCTCTCTTCCCTGCCGCAGGTCCTCTGGAAGGAAGATTTGAATGGGGAAGCTCCATGGTCACTACAGTACCCACAGGTGTACCCTTTTATCCCAGGACCCTTGGCCTCACTCCCTCTGCTCTTTATTCCCCTCTCTATATTAACTCATGGCAAAGTGTAAAAGGAGGTGACTCATCCCTTTCCTAGACTCTCAGTCCCCACAGAGCAAGTTTGGATAGGGAATTTATACCTCTGGAGACTTACCTTTGTTTGCTTCTATTTTCTAGCCAATGAAACCATTGCTTATTAATTCTAATTCCACAAACATTTCAGTGCTGAAATTCCCAGCACCGAGTTAAATACAGAGAACATAAGATAAATAAGACATCTAAATGGGCTCATATCCTAGAGAGGGTTATGCACACTTTAGCAGAAATTTTAATAATGTGATAAGAAGAGAAATAGACCAAATAGGAAGTGGACTTTCCTGACCAGCCTGGGAAAAGTCTGAGCAAAGTCTTCAGGGGCAAATACAGCTTACTCAGACAAAAAAGGCAGTCAGTGGCAAGTCTAGGCAGACGCCAGGAGGTGTTAGGAACAGACTAGAAGATATGGTTGTTCTGGAGGAAAAAGTGTATAACTTAAGAGGTAAGCAGTATGCAAATTTATGCTTGAAAATTTCTTTTTTCTTTTTCCTTCCTATTCAGAGGTCAGTGCTTGAAAACTTGTACTTAATTTTGTCAATAGTGTCACTTGTGTATTTTCGGAGTGCAAAGAGGACTTGGGTAGGCAAGACTAGAGCACGGCAGGAAGCCATTGCCTATCAAATATTTATTTATATCCATTCACTGAGGTGTTGGTAAGAGGGCAGGGGTCCTGGGGAACAACTGCCTCATTTACACTCCAAACACTCAGGTTCTGATCTGCATGTCATGGCTTATCATAGTGTAAGCCAGTTATGTAACTCTAGAAATGGAAGTTTCTGTTGTTTATAAACCAGAAATAATGACACATGTCCTGACTCCTGTTGGGTTGCGGCAAAGAAATTAATTGAAATAAGACAAGACTTTCTGAAGGCACTTTGCCAACTTTCAGAACTGTAAAAATTAACGGACTGCTACGACGTGCTGTTAAGGAAATAACAGGCACCTGGGAAAACCCACGAAGGAAGGTTTTGTAAGAAGTTGCTCTGCTCCCCACGAGAAAATGCCGAGCTCAACACGGCCAAGAGGAACAAGTCTGGGAAATTACGACATGAGGTAAAGCAAGTGGGACTTTTTGTTTTGTTTTTGGATACCACACTTTCTTACATGTCATTCTTATTGTTTACCCTTCCTCACCATTGTTGGTTTGAAATGAGAGGAAGTTGGGTTAGACAGTATTAATAAAGCAAGGGAGATGGTTAAAATTTACTTGATGTAAAAATAAAGAAGCACTTTAGTGTGGGGAGGATCAAATGCTATACATTTGTTATGTGGAAAACAAACTCAGCTTTGTGGTGAATCATAAAACTTTTCTACTTTCATAGAACACTGTCCTCTCAAACTCCCTGGGAGAAGTAGTAGTACATTATCAGTTATATCTAACTTGCCCTAATGCTTCTCTGTTGGAAGATTTTAAAAAATCTCTCTTGTACTAGCTTTACTTTGTTGCTGGTTTGTTGGCTTGTCTATGAGAAGACCACTGAGAATATTTTCAATCTACTCAATACTGATGAGAACCAGAGGCCACAGGCGTTCTTATCAACATGTGTATAAAGTCATGGAAAGTCTCTATGTCAACAATCCTGCTAAAAAGGCCACTCCTGGAGTAGCAGTAATCTCCTAAAGTGATCATCTATTCTCTAAGCACTTTTAAATAGAGAAATCAGCAGGAATACTTATATATGAATTGAGACAACTGATTGATTCATATGAGGGAATTGCTGACAGCAATGTTAATTACTTTTTCTTGAATGTTCGCTCACAGGACAGATTGATCTTTGCTGTTTTACACAAACAAAAAAATGAAATGACATTTTTAGCCTATCATATATCCTGTAAAAGATGTTTTGGAAAACAATTTTCAAAAGAAGTGGGTGGTTGACACTAGAGATTGACTTACTTAGTATAAACAACAAGCACTTCTGGTTTCTTTTATTGAATTTTAGAGTATGGAAAGCTAACAGTGTAATTCTCCCAAAGCTCTTACAGTTTGAATTTGAGGAGTGAACTGGGCTCTGTCATGCAAAGGCAAATATTTATTTTCTATTGCTGCATGCTCTGATTAAGCAACTTGCAATAACACCATTGTTTGGCTCCCAGTTTCTGCAAATCAGGAGTATGGGCATGGATTAGCTGATCCACTGCTCACACTCTCACAAGGCTGAAATCAAGGTGTTAGCCAGGGCTACAGTCTTATCAGTATCATTTTCCAGGCTCTTTGGTTGTTGGCAGAATTCAGTTTCTGTAGTTGTAGGACTGAAGTCTTTGCTTTCTTGCTGTCTATCAACTGGTGATCATTCACAGCTCCTAGAGGCTTCTTGCCATCTTCTACCATGTGGCCCTCCCCACAACATAGCACTTTACTCCTTCAAAATCAACAGGAAAATGCCTTTGGCTTTGAATCTCTTTTGTTTTAACTTCTCACCTGATTAGGTCAGGCTCACCCAAAATAATCTCACTCTTGATTAATTCACAGCCAACTAATTGGATGCCTTAATTACATTTGCAAAATCCTTTTTTGACATATACTAGAACGTAATTATGGGAGTGACATCCCATTGTATTCACAGGTCCTGCTCATATTCAAGGAGAGAGTATTGTTAAGGGTGTATATGTCAGGGAGCAGGAATCTTGGGGAGCATCTCAGAATTCTGCCTACCACAATGTGCTGCATGGAGCAGAAGTAAGCAAGGTGAGGTAATGTACGCATGTGGGGAAATTGTAGCATTCAGCAAGCACAGTGGCATGGGTAGTGCTTCTGGGAGCTTTAGTGGAGTTTTCACTTCTGTTTTCTAGTGCCATATGAGCCAAAAAGTCAGCAGCAACAGCAGAGGTGTTTTTGATAGGACAACTGATGTGGTTGGGCATTTTTCCTTGGTAGCATTTAAGAACTTTTTTTTTTGGTCTTCAATTACATGATATAAGCTACCGGTTATAATAAATACCCTTCTGCTTAAACTATCTATAGTGAATACCTTTATATGCAATATAAATCCTTTATTGCTACTATAAGATCATCAACTGGACCTCTTTTTATATCTCAATTAAAGTGTGTAATTCTGCATCATTTTTGTAAATTTATAGAACTTTAGAGCAGGAAGGAAACTTCCGCTTCTAGAAAGAGTTTTTGAACTATATTCTATAGAAATTTATAGCTCAAGTTATAATAATAGGCTTGTTTTGGGGTGGGGAGTATTCGACGGTCATGCCAACTTGGGGTACATTATACACTCTTAGAACTTATAATAATATCCATTAACATATTAAAGACTCAGAGATCCTACAGGGAAAAAAATGGCAAAAACCCTAAATTTAACTATCTAGGCTGGGCACGGTGGCTTATGCCTGTAATTCCAGCACTTTGGGAGGTTGAGGTGGGTGGATCACTGGCAGTCAGGAGTTTGAGACCATCCTGGCCAATATGGTGAAACCCCTGTCTCTACCAAAAATACAAAAATTAGCTGAGCATGGTGGCACATGCCTGTAACTGCTTGAACCCAGGAGGCAGGAGAATTGCTTGAAACCTGGAGGCAGAGGTTGCAGTGAGCCGAGATTGTGCCATTGCACTCCAGGCTGGATGACAGAGTAAGACTCTCTCAAAAAAAAAAAAAATCTATTAGACTCTTTCATTCCAACCAAAGCTTCCCAAACCAAAGCACAGATATGAAAATCTACTGGGGGGTTAGTGGTAGAGTGAAGGCTTTAAACCATACTAAGTAGGCTTCCTGACTCCCAGGAACATAAAGCTTATTTGTTACTCCCTACATCTGCCTGAGAAGTAAACTTCAGTGAATATGAACACAGCCTCAGGAGGAAGCAAAATATATCAGTGTAACTAGTTCTGGCAAATCTGTCCATGATGTATCAATGAGACCTGTCTTATCTCTTTGAGGAGCTTGCAATGCCATGTATGTTCACCCACACACCACTCAGCAGAAGGTAACTGTCCAGAGAGTAGGCCAAAGTAGGTGTTCTCCTGCCTCAGTCACCCACATGAGCACCCTTCCTAGGTACCAAGACCAAGGGCTCCCAGGCCACAGGAAAATGGGACTTGTGAAATTAGGCTCCAGGACATTTTGCTAACTGTAGTGCAATTATTAGACATTCTAGGCTTAGGATTTGATAGAAAATAAATCGCTCTAAAATAAGTCCAAAATTAAAAAGAAAAAAATGTATAAGGCCACCACAAAAGGCAATATGAATTGAGTACATAAGAGAAACCTGATTCCTGGATCAGAATGCTTGTGAGCACATGCCCCCCGCATTCCATAATACAAATCACATCACATACAGCTGACCAAGACAGAAGAGCTTCCAGGAGGTGCATATTTTCAGCATGAAAACAAAGAGCCATTCGTGTTGTAAGCACAGCTTATGGTCAGCTGGCTGACCTGATACACCTCGGCTTTTATTGTTCCCCAAGGCCACATGGTTGGATCTTGCAGAGGCCGGGAGTGAATGTGGATGTGCCCAAGCAGCTTTAGACCTCGAGGCCTCCCTTTGCTGTTTTTGGAAGGAGCTTCAATTGCATAAAGAATCTAGGCTCCACCACACATTTTTATTATTGGGAAAAAAAATTCCCCTTCAGGGCCGAGAGGTAGAATCACAAGGTAGACTTCTGCTGATTTCCTCCCCACTCCACAGTTTTCTCTTTCCTTGGTAGGTACATTGGTAAAAAGACTGGTACAGTGGTTAAAAACGAAAACCAAAACCTGACAGACAATCCTCACAGCAATGTTTTTTAGCCACTCAGACCCATAAAAGAAACGAAATCTTGGTCAGGCACAGTGGTTCATGCCTGTAATCCCAATAGTTTGGGAGGCCAAGGTGGGCAGATCACCTGAGGTCAGGAGTTCGAGACCAGCTTGGCCAACATGGCGAAACCCCATCTCTACTAAAAATACAAAAATTAGTTGGGTGTGATGGCTGGCATCTGTTATCTCAGCTACTCAGAAGGCTGAGGTAGGGAGAATTGCTCAAACCAGGGAGGATTGCTCTATAGCACTCCAGCCTGGACAACACAGCAAGACTCCATCTCAGGAAAAAAAAAAAAAGAAAGAAAAGAGAAAGGAAAAGAAACCAAACAGAAATGAAATCATAAACAAACCAGACACGACATTAGTCATAAAGGGACTCAAACCACAACACACACCTACTACAATTCTATGGGAAAAGTTTCCACATACGTGCAATTCTCTGAGGTTTGTGGTATTTCCCAGGGCTCCAGCTGAGGAATGACCACAGCTGAATCCCAGGAAAGGCTCTCAGGCCTTGTGGAGCTGTGTTTATTGTTCTTAAGGAGTTAGGAAAAGATAATTTAGGAGTTCTGGTAATGGCATAAGGCAGTTTTGTTTTATTCTTACATGCCCCATTCTCTGGCTTTTTTGTTTCAGCTGTTGAGGTTTTCAAAGCTATCAGCCCAGTCGAAGTTGGTTAGGAATACTCTTGAGGACTACTAAAAAAATCTTGCCTTTTTTAAAACTTGGCAGTGTAAGCATCCATGAAATGGGACATATTTCAGCTTTTAACTATTATTCTGTGGTATGTTTAGAGAGGAACGAAATAATTATCAAAATGCTTTCCAAGCCCTAAATATTGGCTTGTTATTTAAAAAAAAAATCAGATTGGAAATGATATTCTCCTTTGTTATTAATCCTCAAAACTTGGCTCAAACTATAGATTAGCCTATAATTGATGAAATGCTATGGATATTTAAGGCCTAAAGGTTTAAAACATAGTCAATGTTGCTTTGTTAGTATATAACCAGTAGACACACATGGGATTTTTAGACACATATTTTTCTGTTTAGGTGATATGTCTGACATGTATATCAGGAAAGCCCAGAAAATTCTGAAAGTGTCAGTTGCTTACTGCCGGTATACTGCTTCTTTTTTCAGTATTACACAAATTTCACTGGAAGGTGTCTGGTACCTACTCCCCATTCCAGCATGACATGAGACTTCACTGTACTTGAAACTCACTAGTTACGTATTCTTTTTTTTTTTTTTGAGATGGAGTCTTGCTCTGTTGCCTAGGCTGGAGTGCAGTGGTGAGAT